GTCGGCATAATAAAACATTCAATACGCCAAATGCATTCAACCTTGCGAATTTGACCACCTTTTTTGCTGAAATCCTTGCACATGGGGTGTGTCACTGTTCCCGGGTAAAAATGCAACTGACTGTTGACAAACTGAGCAAAACGTCAATTCGCCAGTGACCAACTCAGCATTTAACTTCAATTGGTTAACCCGCGTTGTTGCGTTAATCCTTTTGAGTCGAGTCAGTGGGCATATTTGGATGTATTAGAATAGTATGCTTCGATTGAAGGTTCCATGGACATTTATGAGGCCTTTGTGGTAAAAGCTCTGTAATGAGTTGTCTGTGCATCTTTGAATGAACACGTTTGTTTCCATGTGGGCGTATCAATGACAAATCTGCTTGCATGCACCCAACACCCACGTAATTCGTACAACTAGAGGCAGTGTTCCTTGTCACACAAGCATTCCATTGGAGCACCCAACAGAGACTACGTGTACCGAATATTATTGTTTTTAATATCCTTTAGTTCCTCCGGGTGGTTAGACTGCGTGGCACCTAGAGAGGAGTAGGAAGGTGCTAATTAAATCCACTGAACGCATCACACAGAATTGCGTCACGTGCATTTGCTGGTCGAATTTCGCACATGAGATTCGAGTAACCAACTAACTCACTAACACGTACGCACCACCTCAACTCCACGTTGCCAGATAGACGCGAAGCGTGTTTTGTCTGGCGCTAATGAGTTTGGTATGTGCAAAAAAATGCCACCGTGCAATGAATTTGATCAAATTTCCCAAATGCGTCAACAGAATAATGAAGGTTTAACTTTCAAAGCCTGACTGACAGACACGTAGACGGTATTGATTTCATGATCCTGACAAAGCCCGCCTTTTGAGTCTGTTACTTAGTAACCCAGAAACTAATGACTCAGCAAAATCGACTTCCATCCCAACCACATAACTGATAGACTTCTTAAATCTGTATGCCCGTTAAGTAACCTCCCTTGACGACCAAGTCAAGATGAAGTGGGACATTATTTTCATGATAGATACGGCTTTTAAGAGCCGGTTTCTATTTTAAAGCCTCTGTCATTGCCCGTCGTCAGAATGAAAATCTGGTAAACACTTCAGTTAGCCTGATTTGATGGTTAACCTACTGAACAAAACCATTAGCTGTTTGTTGCACTCTTTTAGCACTTCACTTTCGAGTAAATTCATTTGTGGAATGTCCTTGCCGTCTGTCACGTGCAAGACATAGGTGAAATGTTACCGAATACACATTAATGGGGCTTATTCACGTGTTGATCTGGTGTCAGTTACTAACCCCTCTCTTTCGTTATTTCTATTGATAATCGATGCTCGCGATTTGTATATTATCCCTCGGAAAACAGTCCCATTAATACCTGTTATTTTGTTGATTTTGGCAGTTTTGTGCAAGGATTTCGGCCAATGAGGCTGTGAGCTTTACGACGTTATGCCGCTTTGCACATTGACCAATCACATTCTTTGTGTAAACTTCACATTACGGTGGCAGTGCCCCTGTTAAACATCGTGAGTAGTGACCTATAAATGAATTAAATGGAGCTGAATATCGCTAGTAAATCGATCTTCCATATTTCGCAAAACTGAGTCACAGTTTCATTGAGGTGGCAGGCACAATCGGGATGATTGGTGTCAGATTGCGGTGTCATGAACGCTCCGAGTGATGACACTACTCACTCTCAGACCTCGTTTCCCCTCCAACCTGGAATTCGCTGGTGCTTTGCGTGTCTTGAGCATTTCTCAGCTTGCGAGGAGGCAGGCAAAGCTCGCGAAATGAGCACATGGCGCTGCAGAGTTTTTTGGCAATTCGTTAATCCACCTGTCATGAGAAAGCTTTGACCCACTTGTCATACAAATCGCACGCACACACACACACATCAAATTCTGGCTACTGACGAAACAGAGATGACACACTTGACAGCAGCCAAGCCAAAGCGCATTTAGCGATTCCTGCATGTGTGTTTGAATTTGCTTATTGCCAGATCAGCACTTCTGTACCAACAAATATGTCTTATCTGATATTTTCGGACATTAGACGCGGTATTTGGCCTTGATTGTTGAACACGAAGTTAATAAGCCTATTCCAAACAATCAAGGTAAGGTGCTTTTAGATTATGCATTAGTGACTCCACGTCTATGGAGCACTAAATCACGTGAATTAGTTACTTCACGCCATTGTCAATTGAATGAACAAATGTTAACAGGGTGCGTCGTAGGATGTTACGCTTCCCTTAAACATTCAGTGGATAGGGTTCTAGTGAATTTCGTTCTAGAAGTCCCGATTTTGGAAAGAGGGACAGGGTTATACACCAAGATGGGGCCAAATGACTTTTGAATTGTATTTTCACAATCCAATATCCAATAATCTGTGCACCCATTAAGATCAGTGCACATTGTCACGACCAACATTAATTCGATTCAAAGAACTGTCACTCAACATGTGTGATTACCCCCGCTGAAAGCACTAGTCTATTAATCTTAATGTATCTCCCTCTCTGCAAAATGCCGCCTTGACCTTCGTTTGACCATTGCCAGATTCGTCACTTTGGAAATGGATTAAAGACGAGGTTGCAAGGTACTTTAATCCAATCTTTGAATAAATTTAGTCGAAAACGCCCCTAATCAATTAACCAATCACTTCCAAACCGGTTAATTGACATGTTCGAACGTAATGCAGGTACATAATGCGACTCTGAAAGTCAACATGTCAACAACGCGAGGTGCAGTTTGCGTATTCTCTCTAGTAACAACCTAATATGCACTGTGGTGAATTTGCCTGTGCATGAAATTCGCAATTACTGCACAACTAAACGTGAAATCCTGGCCTTAAAGTTTTTCTTAGGGTACTCTAAGCACTACCTCTTAGGTAACGAGCTTGTCGTTCGTGCGGACCATCCAGCTTTGCGGTGGTTGCATAACTTTATGGAACCGTCAGGCGTCATTGCGAGGTGGCTTGAGGTACTGAGCCGGTTCAAATTTAGAGTTGATTATCGCCCTGGGAAAAGGCACGCTAATGCCAATGCATTCTCTAGACACTAGACACAACGATTGGTGAACATATGAAGCACTACGACTGTTTAACCCAATGTCAGTTTCGATCACACGACAACATGAGCCACTTAAGTCGATCCTCAATTTTTGTGGCAATCGTTTACAATGTCGAGTGTCGACCAATGGTTGTCGTTTCCTTCTGACGCTTTTTGGTGCCAGCGTTTACAATTACAAGTATTTCCAGCATGCAAAAGAGCCCCACGGACAGCTCTACAAGCTTTACGTTGTGTTGGCGTTTGGTTAGTTCACAATGGCCTGTTAGAAGTGCTGACTGCTTTCTCATGCGTTGTGGAAACAACAATCAAGCATTTGACGACGCGGACGACGACAGCACCAATGCATAAACCATTTCGAATAGATTTTACACTGCATGAATCTTAGACGAATGCATGTCGTGCCGTAAGCAGGACATGACTAAACAGCATTCGTTTATTTTCAGATTTCAAAGATAGCAGAACTGACTTCGAGTTGACATTCTGCGATGATTTTGACTGGCATTTAAGGAAACATCGATTTTGCGGCGTTCAGTGTAGGTGAATGAGAGACATGGTCTACAATGGGGTCCTGTTTAGCCCAGAATTGAGGAATTGTGAACAGCGAACATGTGGTTGGAGACCAGATTAGATGATACAAACGCAAGCTAGAAAGCGACCCCAACCATAAACAGGCTGTCTTATTTCCTGTAATGCATTTTCGTCTTCCGTCGGAAAGGAATGACCGAATAAACTATGCTCTGAATACCACTTGTGAGTTTTTACATGTGGCAATGTGTAGTGGATGGGTTCAATTCATGATGATCATCACGTGGGTCTGCCAGCTCTTCCAAACTGTCTCGTGTCTGGTCAACACCTGCTATCTCAAGGAGCGTGCATTGTGTGGTGCCCGTATTACGACCTAGACAATTACTACGGAACAGCATGTGTAAGCATCAGTCGAAAGGTCTGCCGCCTTTCCAGAGGCGTATTGAGTTTCTTTCAAACCGGAGGAGGCAAGGTTTGGAGCCTAGAAAAGAATTGAGGCGCCAATTCCGTATTAGTTAGGAAAGAAAGTTATTGTCATGCGCAATATGAAGAAGCGAGTGCCGAAGACGGACCTCGATTGAGCTGGTCGTTTGAGTGAGAACCCCAGCATCCACTGAGATCCACGGTGGATTAAATTAGGGTTTTCGGAATGCCTAATGCCCTAACGACAGAAGTGAGAAAATGCGGTTGATAAGCATGTTTTCGTGTCACTGGGATCGCGATAAGTCCTAATTCGCACAAGTCAACACGGCGGACAATGCTTGCATGTAGTCATTGCAGGTCAGATGACTGGTAACATAGGAAATGCTCCCTGGTTGAAGGTTGATTTATTTGGGTAAATTACCTACACAAAGCACAATGGGAAACACAGCAGTTTTAACGAGGGCCTTCAGGGTCTCGCAAAACACCCGAGCTCCCACAAATGTTCACTTTTTTGTTCCTGCATTAAAGCATTGTTGTGGCAATTAAACGACCTTTTTTACTTATGAATATACAACGGGGATTAGCATCGGCCAAGCGGTCTACCGCTTGTCTCATTTCAATTTGAGAGGTCTCTACGAACCAGACTGGGTCCAATTGGAGAATCTTTAGAACTAATCCCAAGCCAGGGCTGTGGCGATTCGAAAATATCGACGGTTTTATTCTTGGCTACTTCCCAATGGAGCTGAGGGCGACCTCTCACCTAATGCAATTTGGAAAAGCGGATGTCGAAAATGCACCTCCTTGAAGCTGAATGCTCACTGGCGAACAGCGCCCTCTAAAGTGAGCAAATTGGATCACGCAAATGGACAATTTCAGCAGCAACATCTTTGGTAGCAGTTCAGCAACTCGTCATTACCAAGTCCGTCTTTTGAACCAGAGAAACTTGGTAATTGCCGGCGCGGCGACTTTTGTTCAGTAAATGGAATGTGTGGCGTTCGAAAATATCCGGACGCCAGACCGCAAATAAGTCACCCCTCCATCCCGCCACAAGGGACGGCCAACCTAACCATTGTCTATGGCCTCTTCTCTCTTTCCTGGTCGGGACTTGTCACTGGTGTGGCTCTCAGACCTCACTACTAGATTTTCATTCTCTCCCTAACTCACTAATTGGATTTTCCATGGTATGGGAACTCGTCCAACCTATTTCAACCATTGAACCTGGGAATAAACTGTTCCTCCCTCGTAATTACGTACTTGAATACAAACCGCTACTGTTATTAATCTACCCGAATATGTCTGTACGTTTCATGGTTACACGAAATCCACCGATCTGGTTTTTGCGCTAAAAATGGAAATTAAGAAAACCGCGCTGAAAGACTACAGTATTTCGGAATAAATGATGGCGCATTCGTAACTTATGCATGGTTTGCTCTGACTACCGATTCGTTGATCCAGCTTTGCAAAAAACCAAGTCACCAAGTAGCCGTCGTATCAATTCCTCAGAGCCTCTTCGTTATTGAATGCCATACTGCAGATTTGGCATGAATATCCGTATTAGATGATTGTGGAATGACGAACCGAGAGCCAAATTATTTGGACGACGCGTCGAATCCTACCAATGGAGCTCTAGATGCTAAAGCATGGGGTCTGGCGTTGTTAGATCGCAGAATCACTTGGTGAACGGAACGCCCATCACTCAAAACTTCCGTCCGAACGGTGTGACTATCGCGGTGCTCGGTTGAAGAAGCCCCCACAGGCAATCGTTGTACGAATGCTTGAACCACCCAAGCCCTCTATAGATTCAGCCAAATCCTTGGTCAGTAAAACTGGGGAATCAATTCGCCGTACGTGATAAAATATAGCAGAGAGGGAGGTGGGGGACCTCAAAATGAATACACATAGCTGTCAAAAGAGTACATCAACATGCACACGAAACGGTTTAAGGGATTATAAAAGCTTAAAAGTAAATTAATTTGACATCATTTAGTTCCCCGCCATGTACTCGTTCAGTTCCTTGTCGAGGTTTGCTCGCAGCTGTGAATTGGCGGGACCGCCGCGAGCGAAACGACGTGGACCACCACTGCCACGACCTCCACGAGGAGCGGCATAAGCGCCACGACCGCGAATCGTCACCGAACGACCGCGACCTCTACCGAACTGCCCACCGCGGCCACCGGCGAAAGAGGTTGCCACTGGATGAGATACATTTCTGGTAGTGGTTTGAGCATTCTGAGTTTTAGGAGGAATGGGAGGTCTAGGCAGCACAAAAGAACAAGCACGTTGTGATGGCCACCTTGACATATTTCTCGACGAAAGTCTGTACTGACCAAGGTAAATTAAACGGAACTACGCTAAGTATTGTCGTGGAATATGTGTCTTGCAAAAAAATCCAGCTAAGTCCAGATAATAAATGAACCAGCTAAGAATTTACTTTACCTAAACTAGGAAAATGGTCACGAATAAAAAGGCAAAATGTAAAAATCAAACACTTTCCTTTCACATAAGAGCAGAAAATCTCTACTAACAGTACACAAAATGAAAAATAAACCACGTGATATAATTGCACTACGCGGTCAAAAAGACAGTAGTATCAGGGAAGAAGACATTGCATTTGGTTTATTTGTAAAGCGAGCGAACTAAAATTTGGATAAGGCACGCTCCACGTCTTAAAGTTGACTAGGACGAATAAATATCACAGTACATTACATGAAACACAGGCCCACAAGATATTTACTTACGCCCGCCTAATACCGGTTCGAGGCCTTCCCCGACCACGAGTACTTCCAACGAAACGTTGTCCTAGTCGGCGGGTAACCGGA